AATTGCAGTGCTCAATCGTTGAGAAAAGCTGATCTATTCTTTCACAGACAGGAAGTTATTGCTAAAGCGATCCAACAACATAACATATAAAAATATTAAGTTAAACATACTCGAAACGCAAACCATTTTGTGATTATTTTAACAGCGTTTGTTAAAAGAGAATACAGTATCTGGGAATCTGAGTAATGAATATCAACATGAATCACATTTTGCAAACTAGTCGTTATCAATCTTGTTTGGCAAGAGTAAAATCAATCTCATATTACACAAGGCGTAGTGTTTAGGTACAAATTAAAATGCAAATATGTATGAGCAATGTTAGTTCTGGAGTGAACTGGAAAGGCATTCCAATGAAAGATTGGACTATAAGCCACCCTGCTCCTAACAAGATTTTGCATGCTAATAGAAAAAATATACAATGTAGACGAAGTATAATTTACAAAGATGTTACAGACTAATCCGCTATTTGTTGAAATATTTTTAATAACGTAAAACTGACCCATAAAGTTGTTTTGATGAATAATATATAATTTTGTTTACGACGAATTTCTCAATTCTGATACGACAACGAGTTGTACCCTCGGGGCGGCATCAAAAAACAGAAGTTCAATGATCAGTTCAGAATTTCTAAATCGAGCTCGGCCCATACTAAAGATGAGTAACTATAGCAAGGTGGCCTCACATCATCACGTCTATTGAACATGTAGTTCTGCATAACAATACTTAATTTTTCTATATAGACTTCAGGGACAATTGGGAAAACCCTTTTCCACGTTTTCCTATCGAAAATACAAAATTAGAGTAACTGACCGACGGGCGTGACAAAAACAAACAGAAAATATATTAAAGTACGTACATTGTTTTTGGACGTGTGTCACCTTAAGACTGTTTTGTGACAGCTTCAAAGAATGCGGAGCGGTAAGTTCCTGATATAGCCTTTGATCGTGTAGCACACAGCCTATAGTATTCGGGCATCCGTAAATAAGAAAAATTACAATTTCCGTAAATATTTCATTTCTAAAATGCATGATTGATTGACGGAGATGTCAGACAATGGCGATATTTATAGATATAACTTTACTATAAATAAACTCATTTTCAGTGGAAACTGAGTTGGAATTCGAAACAAAAAATGATTGCTCTCCAAGCGTGTACATTGCCCAGAATGTCCGACTGTATTAAGAATATAACATTGATACAAGCTTTTTTGTCAGCACTGTTATATACAAATCATTTACTCTAATATTATTTACATTATATTATGATACAACTAATTCAACTAAATAGATCAGTCTCTTCCTAGTATTACCCAAACAACACCTCTCAAAATATAAACGAGAGGTGAAAAGAAAAAGTAAAATTTGTTTATAGTAACCATTCAATTAGTACACATAGAACTGAAATAATTCTAAGAGCAATGTTCACATATAGGCAAATTATTCATAAGTATGCTGCAAAATCCTGCATCTTGTGCATTTCAAATTTAAATTTATCTGTACCCTCAAACGTTTTCCTGTATAAACTATTCTAGAGCACATTTGAATTTAACTCTTAGTCAATCGGATTTCACTTTCGACAAGGTATTTATATTTGAGACATTTGCTTACGGTGTTCCACTTGTTTGATGACTAAATTAGTGTGGTGTGATCACGATTGCAAATTTGTTTGGCGGTTCTAAACAAAGAAATCGGCGGGATCATACAAGACAAAGCCATTTCTGCGTTGGTCCGTTGTAATATAAGTGAGTGAACCAGATAGGCATAACTTGGATTACCTAATATTTTGTTATTCTGTTCTCTTATTCTATTATTTTCTAACACGGGCCGATCTAATCTCCAACAAGAAATATCAGTTTGATCGATGAAAATCCAAGCCAGAGCAAATTGACCGCACTTGGAATACATCATGGACGGTCCGGTCCGCCTTTGCAGTCAGTGAAATTAAATAATTCGTAAAAAAATAATATATATGATATGAAACTGTACCGCTGTTACAAACATGTTACATAATCCATGCGTTTATTTCAAGTATATGGCTGCTTGCATGTGTTTGGGTGAGTAGAACGCGAAGTCGTCAACCTGTGTATATCACGAGCAGGCCAAGCACTAACACGAATTTATGATGAAAACATACTCGCGTAATAACGCATGATCATACAATATCACGCGGCCTTTTAGGTTCAATTTAATATTATGTTGAAAATTGGACATACACGATACATGCTTGTCGAATAATAAAGTTCCTGATATGTTAATATTTCGTAGTCAATAGTCCACGTTCGTTGGAGTTGTCAACATTAGAATCTGATAAAATAAGACCTAAAACCTTATAACAAAAATAGATAATATATTTGAGCTACTTCTATTTGCATACATGCTATTGATGGTGGTTGGAAAATTGGAAAGTCAATTTTGCGAAAACTCTCGCCAAAATGGGCATCAAAAGTTAATTTTGCCTGTTTCAATGATCTTCACCAAACCGTCAAAAACAGTTATACCGGTATAGCATCAAAAACAGTTATACTGGCTATGTGATTTGAGATTAACTTATGCCCAATTATTTCATATTTACCGTTTAGATTGATATCCGAAACTGCGCAACACAACAGTGTTACCGGAAAAACAACGAACAGCCGGAATCTTGCCAATAAATCTATATTGCAATAATAATTACGTTGACGTATAATCAGTTGATGGTTTATGTCTGCTTGAATACAGTCTGTATTCGGTATCCGCCAGGTCCGACGCGGGCGGCCGTTTCAATATAAACGAGTATCGTGATTTGTAGTAAATATTATACACGTATAAAATGAGATACAAGTCATTTAGCCAGAAACGATGTCGAGTCTTGTTTTGCGTAAAATAAAACACTTGTCAGTTATTTCTAACTACCGGTACTCGTACAACAATATCACTCTTGCTCGACCAAGCGCGTCACACGAATAAAGGCTCATTATATCTCAATCTGAACGAGGCCTACAATAGACTGTGCGCACCGTAATAACAGTCATCTGCCAATTTTCCACCTCTCTCCCACGCTTGTCTGTTTTCATAGCTGACAGCCTCATCGAGAAAGATTGTTTTGTGAGGCTCAAAAATCATCACCACACCGCAACGAATACCGTACGGTTTGGCGCGCTTTTGAGGAGCGTTAGTAAAACAGGGAGAACCTCCTTATAAACCCAAAATTAAAGCTATTTATTGTTGTTTTATATGAGAGATAACATATCATGGATTGGGAAATGAAAGTGTTGACATGAATACATATCATGAAATCATATCACAGCATAATATCATAAACTTAACTAAGAACACAGCTCAGATACATGTTTGGGTTATAGTTGCGGGTAATGTTTTGAGCACTTTGTGCTTAAAAGCTGCACGTTCTGTGGTCTAAACTCTAAAGTGAGCAGTACAGCTGTCCATTTTCAATGAAATTTAATTGGCCAATACATCCAAATACAAAAATGAAAAATGGTATATTATATAGAAAAATAAAATGCTCATTTATTTATGCTAGTACTTTAATGAATGAAGCCAATCAAAATCATGTAATATCAATCTTATGTGACAGGTAATCACACTAATAATTATGTTTTAGTTATCGAATCATATCAAAGCTAAAATGTTCGATTCACAGCTGTTGGTCAAGTCATGATAACGCTCTGTCGCCGGACAGATCAGTATTTTAGACAAAGTACACTAAGCCGGATATCAATCAAATTACGAGATATTTCCACGATTTGATTTGTTATCGCAAGACGGCAGGTGATTCCTAATTGCATCAGGGCATCTTAATCGTGAAATACTAACTGCATGCGTTTCACCACATGCCAGCAACAAGAGGTTCCGCAGCATACACACCAGTTGATTACCTCAAAATTTAAGTGACAATTACGCACACATCAATCCCAAATTGACCACATGGTTCATGCGTGGGCCATTTTATTGTACAAACTGGCAATTCCTGTACGCCAATCTCTAAAACTGAATCTAGCAAAAAATCAAGACCACCAGCGTTGAATATATGGTGAAGTAACTGCGCGTAAAAACTAATACATCGCATGATTTTGACTCACGCAGAGTTGTTCTACAAGTGAACGCTTTCTAGCTTCTGTTCGGTTGATTTAACTTTGATCTTGCAGCAGACCTCTAGTCACCGACTACTCCATCTCTAATTCAATTTTCAACCACCATCCGTCTTCATACATCATTAGTTGATAGTTTTAGACGAGGCAATGGTTGATTTTGTTTATCAGACTGAATAAGTGGCGGACCGCTACCGAAACGAGCCTATTTGAAAAACATAACATTACAATGGATTAAGTTGGCCATTTCAGACCAACAAGAAGGGACATATTTTTTGAACCAAAAAAATAGGCCGACCATATTTTCTGGCTTGTGCATAGTGTGGATGGAATATGTCGTTTGACATTTATTTGTACGCGCCTTTCTTGCGCCTGTATTTGTACCTTGTTGCGATACTATTTGTGGCTAAGCGAAAGCATTACGTCGATTTGAAAATATGCAGACTTTTAAAGCTTGGATGTTCACACCACGGTTGACTAAGCAGAGAATAGCAATTTACCGACATCTCCGATACAAACCGCTGTACCAGCCAACTAAACCAGCAGGTCGCAAAGCGAACATTTAAGAACGGTCCTTGAACTTAAGAAACCGCGCTCACTTGCGATAGAAAGAAAGCATAGCTTTTCTTCGACGCGACCTTAGATCGCAATGTTTCAACCTAGTCGACAGGAAAACAGTCTAGTCGTGAAATCGAATGCTGGCGGGCACGATTACCTAATTGCCTGGCTACGCTGAATAAGTAACCAACGAACTGGGAGACTGATAAGGCTGACGAGGCAAGAGAAAGCACTGTCAAATGCGAGCGTTGACGTGAATACAATCCGTAAGCGCAAGTTAGCCATGGAATCAATCCAACACCTACCCAATAACTAACTGAACAGGCCATATAAAATCATCACACAGACAAAAATATTGAAGAACGAAATACATTTTAATGGGAAAAAATAAAACTCTTTTACAATCTCATAATTCAAGCTTTAAACAAATAAACATTCAGTTCTGGCCACAAAGTTGTCTATAGAATATATAGATACAGATATTATTATTATTATAAGTATAACAAAACTTGCCTTCATAAAATAAAAAAAACTCTTTACTTTGTTAACTCTTGCTCAATGATCGATGGCTACACAATCACACAAGGGTTGGACAATTTTGTCCATACCCCAGTCATTTGACTTGTGTCATGCCAAGTTGCAGGTTAAGTGAATGCAAAAAATTATATCGCAATTCACTTTCCAACTACAACTTACACATGACCCATCACAAATAAAATTCGCGGTCACATACATTTAGCAGCAAACTAAAGGGATATGAGATATTAGGAAGAAAGAAAATTGTAACAAAAACAACAAACTCTAACGAAATTATACTTGAAAGTACAGTAAATATATCATGAATGAAACAAAAGAATGCAGCATAATTGTTAATTACTCAATATTCATGACAAAATTGGTCAATCAAATTCTCCCATAATGGGGTTGGAAAGTGAAAGACTTTTTTCAATCTTTGCGATTACAGGAACACTGTTATAATAATTACTTATTTCTATATTTGTGTCAGGCCCAGACTTATTAAGGGGATGTTATTATAAACTATAGCTAAACTTTAAGAAAAAAAAACTATCGTAGCAGCTCTTCGACAATTAAAAGTGTAAAATAAGAATGTTAAAAGCAGACTTTGCTGTAAAAAACCTCTTGGTAGATATATGAACAAAAACAATAAGGACTAGAATTAGCCAGGACCCTTGTTGACAAATGGAATTTACCCACCATCTTTAGATTACGAAAACATGCCAAGATACAGATATGCTTGGAACAAAATAAGGTCCTTCTATGGGATTTCTACCGAACTGTTATTTGGCAGCTACAACAACTTATACAAACTACATGGATTGTTACGAACCATCCATGATTTTTCAGATTCACATAATTGTAATTTAAAACAAAAATAACTTTAGCTCAGTAATATGACAGTGGACAGTTAGATAATACACACAAGCTTAATCAAATCTTGTTACTGCCAGACCCACATTATAAATAGTTCACAGTCTTGGTATTTTGATTTCCCTAACAACCCAACAAGGCAAATAATTTTTAAGGACGGAGTATTACTATTTACTACAGGAAATTAGATTCTGTTTTGTTTAAGTCTCAAGAATTCATATATTGTCTAACCAAATAAAACCGAACAAAAAAAGGATGTTGTTTAATCAAGGGACAGGCGTGTAATAAGAAATAAATATAAACTTCTTTAAAACTACTTTTATCAGGCAGTAAGTACGGTTGCAAGCAGCAATAAGATAGCACCAATGATTTCTAGAGCACAGTAAGAACTATCAACTTGATAAGAACTCTTATTTGGTCACACAACCAACAAATTTTATTTTTAAGGGGACAGTGAAATTTTCAGTCCCAAACGGAATATATTGTGCGATAACAATAATTATGAAAATGTAATCCTGATTTTCAAGACATGGCCACCAAACTTAAAAACATGTTTCATTTTGCCTCGACAGGCAAGGACTTTTTTTAGTATAGGCAGTGAAGACGAATGAAAGGCCAAATCAGCCACCAATGGAAACATTTTAACAAACGATGATGCGAAAACAAAGTGAAACGAACTATGGTATACATAGAGGGATAAGCCAAACAAAATGTGATTGTGAGAAGTGAAACTGTGCATTTTGAATAAGTAACGCAAAAATATATAGGTATGCAACTAGTGCACATGATAGCATACGCCACAAGGCAAGTGAGAAAAGAAAAAAAATCAAATTTACAAGATGGAAAAGTGTTAATAAACAAGGTATAAAATAAAATGCGGTCGTACAAAATTACAAAATATATAATATATCTAATATATTCATATTTCTATTGAAAAATAACATGCGGGAGAACAAATAAATGATTATGCTTGGTGGGAAATAAAAATTATGGCCGTTGAAGGTTGAAATCTGGTGAGAAAGCAAGTTGTGAATGTGGATATGGCGGTAGTAGAAGTATATAAGTAGGCTACTCATTTGGCAGTGCCTGGAGAATTTCAATGATTGACGAGGTAAACCCTATTGCCTTTTTAATGCACTCTCAAAAAAAAACTAACTTTAATTTATATGATTTGAATATTTTAAAGGCAAATGAGGAAATAACCTTGACAGAATCTAAGCAATGTGTTCAGAGCACATAAAATTTAAAAATGTGCTGTAGAATCAAGAAAATCGAAAGAATTTGTCAACCTTAAAATACAAATGGCAAAGCCCAATACCAAGGAAGACGTCGCACCCCGAACTCAATAAAAAGAAAACACAGTAAAAAACAGCATAATTATTGGTTCCAGGTATTGTTCATACATAGTTGTGGAAGAAAATAAAAACCTACCACTGAGGGCTTTCAATGTTTGTTTGCTGCTGATGATTGAAATTCAAGCAACGGGCTCTGTTTTTATACGAAGAGCCAATGTTGCTGTTTCGTTGCAGCAGGGACAACGTGCGGAATTGAGAGCAGCATTGTTGGCACATTCATAACAGAAGAGGTTGTGGCCACATGGAACAAGAGCAGCCATAACAGATCCTTCGTGGCACATCATACATACACGAGGTGGTGATGCAGTACGCATATTTCCCAATATGCCACAAATATTTTCCACAGGTGAGCCAGATGTTTGACTGTCAGTGGTGCTGCCTGCAAAATTGAACAAATATTTAATATTATAGCCATTGCTTAACATTAGATATTTTACTAAGCAATACATCAAATACCACATTACTAGGTAACCATAGTTGTTAGAAATTTATTGTACACACCTGAAGAGTAACCACTTTCAATATTAATTCCATTGGACACCGTCTTGTGCAATACATTGCCGAAATCAAGGCTGTGAATGCTGCTACCAGTAGAATCCACAGAATCTGATCCAACTCTTCGCATTGGTGGTCTTGATAAGTTTGACATCGGCGATTGTACACTTTGTGCTGGTTGTAATGCCAAGGGGAAATCACTGTCTGAGAAGGTAGGAGAGAGACGAGATGGGAGAACTGCTCCATTCAAGGGCACTTGAGTGATGGAGGTGGTGGCATCAGATGCAGATGAAAAGATTGGGAATGACAAAGGCCCGTTGTTGTAGTCACCAAGAGCCCATGAGGTAGCCGGTGCTGCAGATGCATCAAAACCCAACGCATTTGAGGTAATCTGATCAGGATGAGTATCGAGCTGATCGATTGGTGAAGTTGTATTTTGTGCATACATGTTCAATGCTGAAAAAATGGAGATATTAAATAAAACTTAGTTAGAATATTATTAAATAACTTAGAATTTGATAAATATAACGAGTTCAATTACTGAACACGATGCAAAATAAAAATTCATAACTAACCTCCATTTTGTGTCATATCCATCAATGTGTTTTGTTGGTTGGTCGCTTGTGAAAACTTAGAATATCCTGGAATCTGATAGTTGCTGAAGAATGGGTTGTCAATTGGCTGCATTGGAAATCTAAAGCTGGCATCTCCAAGATCAGGCCTGTTCTGGCTCATGAGAGGGCTGTTTCGGTATGGTGTGAATGCAGACTGGTTTCTGTAAACGATAACACTGTTGGTCACATAATTTCTTCAAAATTAAAAATAAAACTATATAATTTTTTAAAAATTCGAACAAACCTTGCTGCAAAGCTAGCAGGACTGCCAACAACAGTTCCATTACTCGCAAAATCATCATCTACATCCCGATGTTGACTACCTGTTCTGGCAGCAATATGAGCTTCAATTTCTTCTTTGGCTTTTTCAACATTCTCTGGAAGACCTTATAAATAGATAATAGATAATTACAATTATTAACATGAAATTGTCATTTCACAATTACCATTGAGAACAGTATTAATAAAGTTTCAAAAGGCTACAAATAAAAATCATTATACCTGTAACTTCAAACACTGGTTCTTTGTCCCTGCTCGGTGTGACGATATATGTATGACTTTGCTGTTGTATCCTTTTGATAGTAGCACCTTTAGGTCCGACAACTAATCCAACAACTCTGTATGGAACCCTGACTTGCAGTGTGATTGTACCAGGTGAAGTGAGATCAGTGGGTGAAGAATTTCCAGATGATACGGTCATAGGATGTGCTAATCCAGGTACAGGTGCAACTGTGTTTGGAACACCAGCCTTATTCCTTGTAGCTCTGTTAAATAACAAAATACAGTATTATAATACAGTCTGAAAAAGTATACACAAAAGTATTCAGAATTTGAAATTAACTTACCTAATTTGTGTAAAATGTTCAGCAGCAGATTGAATTTCCCGCCTCGCCATTGCTACATCTTCTTTCCTGCCAGTTACAACAAACACTGGTTCTTCTCCTCTAACAGGTGTTTTGATGTATGTACTGGTTTTTGCCCGCAAAGCCTTGATTTTACATCCTGTAAATTATGAAAAATATTTTTATCTTTAGTGTACTGGTGTAGGTCAATACTGCAATGAGCAGTTTCTGTAACTGAACAGTTTGATGTTAACTGTTCAACGATGAATATATTCTATATTTCTGGACTGTCTGACTGTATTAACACAGTAACAGCTTTATTTTTGACCACTGCCTGACTGCTTAATTGTAAATTATTATTCCAATTAATATTCAGAAATTCTGAAACTGGTTTTAGATTATAATACTACTGTACTGGGTAAATTATAGTTGATGGGGCCTTGTCGCACGTACCTTGCCTGCCGACAATTTCTGCCACATGCTCAGAGCTGGGAACAGGTACACATTCTGTCATATTTTGGCTTTTCTTGCTTTTCGTAATCTCATCATAGCTGGATGTTGAACTGTCATCATCGCCGGTGCCTAGAAGTCCCAAATTTGATAATTCCAACGCAATCTGGAGAGCTCTTTGATCTTCTTGACCACTACCTGGTGGAGCTTCCAGTTCTTGAAACATTGTAGGGCTGCACGACATCTTCTGCTTCAATAATTTAATAGTAATATTAGCGCTGTAAATTCAAAAAAATGCAAATAAAATTATATACAAAGTGCGAAATAATGCATAGGCTATTAGCAGACTTCAACAATATGCAAAAAACGTTTAGCCCTATAGCCATACTACTTTTAAGCGTCAACGGAACAGTTTCGTCTAAATTGATATGAACTATATTTACAAATTCTCCCACCTAACTCGAAACATAGCGCGCCAACAAAACCGACCTTGTGCGAGGTTCGGCCGCGGCCAAAGCGTCGCCGCCAAGCCGAGATGCACTACTGATCTCGGCATCGAATGCACTCACTTTTAGAGGTAAATGTGCTTACAATGCGCACGCAGTCGCTCCTGGGCGACCAATGGGGCAGCTCCTATCGGCCATGTGACCGATCGTCATTGACGTTTTCCCACGAGGTATCCTCGCTCTATATTCACTCCCGCTGCCTTCTTTCCGCGGTATTCTACGCTTACTTTGACATAATGAATACAGCATAAACGAACCGTTCCGACTCTCGCGCCATTACGTTCTTTTTTCTTGCACTCGGCTCGCTCTATTCTCTTCTACACGCAGGTGCAACTTATTTGTATTTTCATTTTTTGCTGAAGACGTTACGCAATATCACACAGCGAGGTAAGCATGCGCTCTGGCCCTATGCTGCCGCGGAGCGAAAATCACGGGTTTCACTTCAACACTGCGATAGAGCTAGGCATGCAATCAGCTGAAAGTTTTCACTACGAGCAATGAATACTGAAAACAAATTAAATTCATCTGTATAAATCCTTCAATAAATCAGAATATGATACACTGGGTAAGATCGTACACTATATAAACTCCATTCCGAACCATGGACTTTATCATCGAAAAAATTGAACAAATAAACACTGTTTACATTAGCGCACGCACACCAGACTGCCATTGTCACGTTAGAAGCACAGGTATGTAATTTATTTGCTTTTATCCAAAGCTAGCGACACACGATTAAATATCTTTTAAATCGGCAGCTTCACTGGCGAACGCCTGCAGTGCAGATATCGTATCTCCAGACTTCCTGAGCTAAAGAACCTGCCGCTTCGTGACACACGTTATTTTGCGATCTTCTAAATTAGTGACACGAGTTGAGATTATTGCATTTCCGCCGCATCAACAGACGTCTCAATTACATCAAACAATTACCCACGAGGAATTCCCGGCCTGGATAATGTGCAATTGTTAGCATTGAAACCCCATACAAGTATTAAAAAGAATGACATTCTATCACTTTAGCTACCTAAAGATGGACTAATAAAACCATTTCAGGAAACACCAGCATTCTAGCGATAACATCACATTATTCTACACTCACATTTAAATACAACCTATTAATACGACGCCAAACTTGCATAAGTTGGAGCTACATTGAAGAATAACGCAATCCCGGTCACGAGACTTGCTACTGTTGAATTTGAGACACGATTATGCAATCACTTTTCGCCAGTGATCACGTGATATTGTGAAATAGTATTCGATACAATGTCGCCACCTTGTGTCACAGTATTTTAGGAGGATACAGTACTTCAAAATCATTTCGGCGGAGAATATAGCCAATACAGAGGTCAAGTATATTATAATTCTCCACTTCTTGCGGCAAGTAGTTGACTTATTTGACGTTACACAGGGACGTGGATTGTGGGCCAATACGTTACCGACCCGCTTACGCCACATGAAAATAAAAGACAAAGAAATGGCATTATGTCCGCAAAACACTATTATTCGTTCCGAGTTGTGCGATAAAACCGCGTGCGAAATTATCATATCTACTATGTTCATTACGGCTCTCTACCAATCCCCTCCGCGGCAGCGATTGCAAAACAAAATCGCCACGGGATCGGTATATAATCATAACGGAAACTTATACAGTGCGTAATAAATATAATTGATCCTTCTTGGTGACAATTATGAAATGCACGGAATATCGGAGCAATAAACACGCGCCATGGCGTGATTCGACGAAAGAAGTAATAATGGTTTGCCCGAAAAATACTGCAATCTTATACCAAACAGTGTTCTTAATATTATACTCTGTGTCTTAAAGATTAGGGTGCCTCCCGAATAGAACAGGGAATGGCGGTCTCATGCGTATTACTTTTGCGCATTTTAAGTGTGCCGTGCCTCAGATTTATTTATGTAAACATTTCACATATGAAGATGAGACATTACACTTTCATTCCTAAGCCAAACCCAGATCGCCAACACTGCCTCTAATGAATTTCACACCACATTGAAACGAAGTTCAAGAAATCGGTTGTATTTCATGCTAATTGCAATAAAAAGAAAATTACACAGACTTGAAACACATTATGAATATAAATGTGTAAAGGAAAATAGTTCAAATTCATCATGGATACTCATCTGACCAAGCATGATTGTTACAAGGCTAACTAGGCGTTCTCGTTAAGGTCCTTCCATTAGTTGGGAAATAAAATCTTCCATGGTAGAAATACATCACACTAGTTGAATTGGAGCCCAACAGAACCTGTACAACGGTCGAACATGAGCTCAATTTGTTCGTGGCTTGGGGATATCCAAGGATATCAGCATCATGCAACGAAAGAATAAAATAAAGACAACGGAAAGAACTGGAATGTTCTATAACAGACATCAAAGAAGTGATAGAATCAGTGATTGTTAAGCAAAATGAATATATGTACTAAAATGCAAGTTTCGAACCTAAATTATGACGGGGAATCCATTTAACAGAACTGTATCATGCTATCCCAATGTACAGTATGTACAGTAAACATCGTTCAAGTCACGGAAACAAGGACTGGAAATTAGCCATTTGAATTGCATAAGAAGGAATTGCAAGCACAATGACTGAAATAAACATCCCATTAACAATCCGGATGTTTGAATGTTTACTTCAGTCATTGTCAACGTCGTTGTTAGTCGAGTAATTGGTGATTTGCATCAAAATAGTCGCCATGGTACAAACTCACTTATCAACCAGGAGCGTGTCGCTGAATCATTTTACGAGGAAATGAATAATGAACAATTAAATTCGAATTGCAGATATAAAAAGATAGGAAGTGGCGGTCTATATTATGGTGTTAACACCGAACAACCTTATCGTAACATGGGCGGAGGAATTCCTTTTTAGCGCCTTTATAATCTTAAGCCGGAAAAGTCTAGAAATTCGCCACAAAAGACTAAGGCACATGGACGAAGATTGTTCCATATAAAATACAATTGCGATTGTTCTATTTACAAAGAATGAAAAAAAGTTTGAAATGCGAGCATTTCATCTTTGCTTCTTAAAATGTGAAACGGTCCAAGTATAGTGGATTATCATTATAGTTGTAAATTTTGGACATTGATGGCACAATATTCTTTACTGCAGTTCAAATTTAAATGTTTATACAGCATAAGCAGCTTTCGACATAGGAAAGTATGTGCAATCTTCACCCTTCACATTGCTTTGGAAGCTGATCGACTTAAACCCTGAAAAATAAATGATAATGGTATGAGTTGAATGGAAAATTCATTCCAGCACCAGCATCACTAGAGAAGACGACTATTTCAAAACCTCACCATACCCACATCCAGACGCCCGTTAATTTATATTACTTGGAATGGCCACTTAAAATGGTGTGACAGTACAATCTTATCCTTCGGTGGAAACGAAGAAAAAAAATTAGGAAAGAAACCAGTGTTCCACAATTAAGAATGCTATGATAGAAAAATAGTGTAAATAAAACGCAGGGCCCGAAAAGAATGGTGTTCAGATAGAATTTCAATGAATATTTGGGACAGCTCATAGGCTTGTAACCTACCCCAGCCAAATTATCAACATTGTAATCTTATCTTATATAACATTGTATTGAAAACCGCAAACTAATGGGGTTTTACATACCCCATTATAATTGGGGGCTTTTGTCGCTTAGGTCTCCTCCTTTGTTCAGACAATTATGGGGCACTATAGAGGGCGACAAATTACCCATTTCGTCTCAACTTACGTCTATAACAACGAAATTCAAATAAAAAGTGGGTTTCAAGCAAAAGCAACAAAGGGAGAAAGTAGAATGGCGGTCTTATCAATTTCACTAACATAATGATATTAATGAGGCTACCCAAAAGAATACTATTACAAACGTCTGCTGATGACAAACACCACTAAAATAGATAATAGATGGTTTTCAATTACGTTTAGCGGCTCGAATTATATTTTTTTCAAAATCTTTAAATCCAACTAAAACTACTGAGTGATTTCCACATGGTCAGGTACAAATCATACTTGGGGCATGCCTATTCATATACAGATATGCTTGGTGAAGCTAATTATACTGAAAATAATATGTTTCTAGCGTACTGTGAGCATGCTTGTGCTTGTGTGATATTATTGTTTGATATTGACATCAAAATTTAATTCAAGTAATAGAAGAGGTTTATTATTGCCCTTTTCTATGTTTCTAACGAACGATCCAGATAACGTAACACCATGATAAGACGGAGGATTTGAAATAGGGTCAATTGTGACGATACATTTACCATTATATTGGATAAGTAACTCTAGAGAGAAGTATAATTTCTATACAAATCAATCGCTTTGAAGTGGAAAGAAAGATACATACAGATAACAAACAGTGTTCAAGGGCTTTCAACAAGGGGACAACTTGGTTTACATATAAATGAAAAATAATATGTTGTTTTCAACCTATTTATATTTTTTTGAAATTTTAAGATTTGCAATATTAAAATTTTCTCAAAGCGATAACATCAGTAATAAATTTTACCATTTACACTCGAAGGAATTCAAATGCGATCTATACGAAAATATGGTTTGTTCGTTTCAAACAATCAAAAAAATGAAAAATACGTATTCATTATTCGCACATATGGAACTCATAAGATTAGTAATGTAGACCGCATTAGGTCACGATGGCAGAATAATATTACATCGCGCTTTCCACTGGAAATATCCCGTTACTTTTTCACTTAGTATTAAGATAAATGGCTGCTTGAAACTCATGTAGACATTTGTATAGTCGTCACCATCGATCAATCGTAAAATAACCCAGCAGAGGAAGTCGTTAGTCAATTCAGTAACATGATTTTTTTACTTTATTCAAGCAAAACATCAGTAAATTCTGAGATGTATGGAGGTGATCCTATTTTTGAATGGCCGCATGAAATTTCTATTGTACGTCAAATGCCTCTATGAAAAATTATCAGTGATCACGGACAAAATAGGGCAGAATATGATATATTTACATGTACCAGCAAGCTAAACTAAAAATACAGTTACATTTGTCACAAATTAAAATGATCTGGGTCGACTAAAAACTTTTTTATGCAACTGGATTTGACAACAAATATCCTTGTTCATGCATGGACATTATTGTTTGTTTGATGGATGATTTCTCCCAATTTCTCGCATAACGGGGTATAAAATAAATCTTGACAGAATGGGGTTAAAGAGTCTCACCGTATATAAAATACAATAAAATAAATAGAGGTTATATAGGTACGTGGCATATCGACACATATACCACATGAACTATTCAAACATTCATTAAACTATATACGGGATGTTTCCCAGCCTATAAACGGCAAATAAAGCGATATAGAGTTTCAAAGCGCGCAGATTAGAGCACTTTCAATTTGAGGCGGCTTGGGCAGCGAGGACGAAGACGACGTAATTGACAATATGAAATTATGGCTATACGAGGCCATCAAAATAGAGAATTATACCTCAACATTTTGCTTGAATTTGAATTCAATCCAAGGCAACTCGACAATGAAGTAGTTTATCGATGGCAATCGTCTAATTATGCAAGTGTCTCACGACATATTGCTTTGTTTAGATTTGACGACTTCGACAGATTTGCAAGATATACGCCGTTAAAGAGCAAAATGATTTAATTAAATCCAAATCAACCATCAATATCATGTAATTGGTCGTTGCTACCATATGTGCATGTATGTAGAAGTGTGTGTCGCGCACTCGAACAATGAAATTTAACAGATTGTGCACAGTGACCGTGATTTGCGTCCTTCTGTGGTAATATTAAAAGAGAAGTACGATTATCTTTATAAATCAAGCTAGGTCAAAGGATATGCAATTACCAAATAAGTTCGCATTAGTCCGCTGACACATTACACATCCTATTGCATTGATAACAGATTTAAAAATAATTGACATTTTCGTCAACTAATTCCTAAATACCCATAAACAAAAGTTGTAGGAAACTTCGTGAATACTGCTAACTGTATTAAGAGAACATAATTTTTTTCACAAGGTACACACATACGTAGAAGTAAGACTAACCCATAGGAATGTCTAAATCGAATTGAATACTAGATAGAATATATTCAAACTTGTTCCAATTCGATTCATCAAATATTGGGTGAAGAATGATTTAGAATCGTTGTTTGATATAAAAATCTTGAGTATTCAATATAAGACAGCCAGGCAAAAAAAGCTTGGTTTCACTTCTGACATAATCAAAATGCTATTTATCTTAAACATTCTGCATTACCACATTCAATTGTGTAAACTACTTTGTTGAACCGGACAAATTTTCAAATTTTAGAATATATTTTGATAATTCATATTTGAAAATATCAATTCAGAGTTAGAATTGCAAGTTATCGGCTCTGGTCATAATCACAACGAGAAGATAATTCGATTACATTCGTTTTCAAATCTGGGTATTTCGTAATTTAGTTATACAATTGGGACAGGGTGTCAAATTCATCCATTCAATAGTTTCGTATCTCCTATTTTGACTCCGATTTGTACTCTAGGTACGCTTTATTGGAATCGTAACAAACATTGTAATATCATGAAAACATATTTTGTAACAACTTGAAACACATCACAGTTCTGATGTCCATAACACAGGTCGCTCAAAATTTGCGTTGCACAAAACCAGCCATTTTTGTGTATATGTCTGGGAAAACAAGAAGAAACGAAAATCATGTACTTGATACAGTTTCCCAATTATACTTAGAAAATAGGATAGAAATCCCGCGAGGAGCCCAATTGTTATTCATTCTTAGAGCGTATGGATAAAGAGCCTGAAACTCGAAAACGAAAATAAACAACACCCGATTTAAGAATTATATGGGTCGTATACACAATTGCTATTGGGCACGAATTAGAATAAACCCGGTTAACTTTTTTTTGTGAAAATTGTGAAAAGGCCTCTTTATTTCTAAGTTTATAACTCGAATATGAATATTGATTAATTTAGCAAACCAGAATTAAATTGTGATCGTTTGTGAAATATTTGTTGCAAATGGCAATACGTATTTTTATCTTGTATTCACCAAGTATTCAATGATTAATAGCAAGCAAGCTTACCAACTATTATAGTCGTACGATGCCTTGCAATAACAATCTAGAAAAACAAATCAAACAATCAAGCTAACACGTGTTACGTGGTCGCGATAATTGAATAGGCAAGTCCGGACGTCAAAACATGTTTTCGGGAAGCAACGAACAAAAATAAGGCCTGCTTAAAAGTCAATTATTAACCCGTATTATAATTGAAACGCGGGAAAGCATTGCATGAGGCTCAGCGATAAATAACTGAAGTTGCACAATTGTTGAAAGGGAACGAAAAATCACAGTGCCCGATCATTTTCCTAAACGGAAGCAAACGCGCCACTGTGATATGAAAAATCACCATTGAGCATTGAAAAGCCTATTGTTCCAATATGCAAGTATCGTGTTCACTTGGAAGTGTTTCCTTTTCACGGCTTGTCAGAATTTAAAATTACACCCGACTTTAAATAGGCTACAGCAGAAGTTGTCAATTTAAATTTCTTTTCACGATAAATCATGTAAATGATATATTGGGATTGGATGATGGAATACACTGCATTATCGCCACCTTGTAGCTAATAAGTAACATACAAATATTGATTCTATAATCTATAACATATACTCTTTGTAATACTGGGATCTTTTGTACAAAGCCCGCGGCAGGTTTCAAAATAAATTAGCAATTATCCAGTTTTTAAAATAAATTAGAAATTATTCAGCTGAGATGAGGTTGGGAATTATTCGAAAATTCGAATTTCCAGTGCAATTAGCATTCCTAACCCTAACTCGATATTCACTAATTTTCTTCTTTTGAGCGTTGGCGTTGTTTCATTTGACAGGGGATTTGTACAAAAGATCCCGATATTGTTAGAGCCAAAACCATCACCAGTAGTCTCATAAAAATTATTTATGGCATGTCAAAATTAGATGACACGTTTTCAATACCTGATACACCAAATAGAGTTAGGAGAATAATGCATTTTTCTGCCTCAATTGACATGGTTCCCGAGTTTGAAAAAATTAAAGATTTAGAAGATATGAGAATCGAAGTCAGCCGTTAAGTATTCCTATATTCTAGTCATAGTGTTTCCCAACCTATAGGTCGCGACCCAAAGCTGGGTTGCCTGAAAATCCTCTTTGGTCGCTTTGTTTTAAACAAAAAAATGAAAAG